TTTCTTTTTTTCCCCTTATATTTCCGTCTCTCGTAGAATTATATTATATAAAAAGATAAGATCGAAATGATTATGAATTTAAATAAAATCTAAAATGTCAAAACAGGTATGAATTATTCTATTTTAAAATCTTATTAATCCTCCTATCGATATAATCAAAAGTACAAAATTCGTATATATCACGAGATTTAAGTACATTCTATCTAGATTTTATTTTTAAACAATAATAGAAATATCTGTTATTCTTGAGACCTCATGCTCTATTAGAGAAAAATATTAATTTGAATTCAAATACCTAAACATTGATTTCTATCCAATAGGATTGTATTTGTTAGACTAGAGCTTATTTTCTTTTCAAAACTGCTTCAGGGTATATTCTATCCTGGCTCATATCCTAAATGATAATGCTACCAAAAAAAAAAGCTTTCTGTCATCAAGTATGAAGGTTTTATAACCAACAATTAGTCATGAAAAAGAGAGTTTACTAAAATTAGAAATATTTAGTAGTTCTTTTTATAGAACAATATAATCTTTTGTTTTTCTTCTTTAGAATACAGCTAAACCCGATGATTTCGACCGTATTCGAACGCTTGGAACCGGTAAAAATAATTTAAATATGAATTTTAAAAAAATATTCTTTGTATTTCAGGTTCGTTTGGACGTGTTATGCTTGTTAAACATCAATCAAGTGGAGGTTTCTATGCAATGAAAATTCTCGACAAACAAAAAGTACTTCTATATATGAATTTTATAAACAAAAAAATTAAACTATTTATTTTAGGTTGTAAAATTAAAACAAATTGAACATACACTCAATGAAAAACGTATTCTTCAAGCTATTTCTTTTCCTTTTATTGTCAATTTGGAGTTTCATTTCAAAGTAACAAAAAAAAACTTTTTCTTTATGTTTAATATTTTTGTGTTTTCAATAGGACAATTCCTATTTGTATATGGTATTAGAATTTGTACCCGGTGGTGAAATGTTTAGTCATCTACGTAAAGTTGGTCGATTCAGGTATTGATTGAGAGAAAAAAAAGAAAAGTTTCATTTGAATTTATTATATGTATATAGTGAGATACATGCTCGGTTTTATGCTGCTCAAATTGTATTAACATTTGAATATCTTCATTATTTGGATATTCTTTATCGAGATCTAAAGGTAAAAATAAATAAATATAACTTTTTTTTGTTAAAAATATCGATTTTGTTTTGTTATAGCCTGAAAATTTACTAATCGATGCTGATGGATATTTAAAAGTAACTGATTTCGGTTTTGCCAAAAAGATTAAAGGTATACATTTATATTATGATTATCTCAATTAAAGACAAACGGATATAGAAAGATCTATCATTACGCAAGGAACTTTTCTAGAATATTTAAAAAAAGGCGTATTGTTAAAGAGATGATTTAGAACAAAAGGTTAACAATTTTAATACTTCATCGAATAAGTACATCAGTAGCATAGAAAAATATTAATGCTGAAATTTGATTCTTGTACTAAAAGGTCAGTAGTAATTGATGCATGTCGTAAGAAACAAAATAAAATACTTCAGGTGATTTCATAATTAATTTCCTGTTACAATGTCTTAATGGCATTGTTAAATAGCAATAAATAGTTTTAAATATTAGAATGATGCCATAAGTATTATGTTACATAAGGAGAAGTTAGTCGACTAATGAGATCTTTTTCTTATCATAGTATTATTTCCTCGCTTCTTCTTCTTTTTTTGTGTCTGAGTAATTACAATGTAGATGATATTTGTAACCTATATTTTTATGAACATAGCTTATGAAACTTCCGTAGTATTTTTTTTTGTTTGTGATATTATTAAAGTTTCATTTTTTGTAATTCTAGGTCGAACTTGGACGCTATGTGGTACACCAGGTATAAATCAAACAAAAAATCTCATATTAAATATCAATGTACTTTATATTTAATAGAATATTTGGCACCGGAAATAATCTTATCAAAAGGATATAATAAAGCAGTCGATTGGTGGGCATTAGGTGTATTAATATATGAAATGGCAGCTGTATGTTTTGTTATTTCTATTGATGAGAAAAAAATAACGATTGTTTTATTGATTAGGGTTATCCACCATTTTTTGCTGATCAACCAATTCAAATTTATGAAAAAATTGTATCCGGAAAAGTAAATCTAATCGAAAAAAATTCATAGACATTTTTTTGAAAATAATGAATCTTTTTTAGGTTCGATTTCCATCACATTTTAGTAACGATTTAAAAGATTTATTACGTAATCTTCTTCAAGTTGACTTAACGAAACGATATGGAAATTTAAAAAATGGTGTTGATGATATCAAAACTCATAAATGGTTTTCAACATCGGATTGGATTGCTATTTATCAACGAAAGATTGAACCACCATTTGTACCAAAAACTAAAGGACCCGGTTTGTTAAATATAATTTCATTGATTTTGTTTATTGATTTATTTTATTAATTAGGTGATGCAACTAATTTCGATGAATATGAAGAAGAACCACGTAAGATATTTATTCTTGAATAATTTAGTATATTTGTGTTTTTTCTTATAGTTCGTATTGCAACATCAGAAAAATTTGGAAAAGAATTTGAAGAATTTTAAAAAAATTTCGACGACACCAAAAAAAGAAACATAAAAAAATCAAACTTTTTTTTCCTTCTTTCTTTCTTTCTTTTTTTTTAAAATATTTTAAACGCATAGATATGCGTTTTCATTACATTTTTTTCTCTTGTTTTTCGACTTCTATTTATAGCTGTGCGATTTTCGTTTTTACAGCAATATCTTTCTTTTTTTCATGTATAGATCTGTGTTATCATGTCTTCTTTTCTTTTTTGTTTTCTTTTTGTCTAACCTATTTTTTTTTCAATCCATATCCTGTGAGTTCTGACTGATTCTGTACTGTTGTTCTCGGTGTTGTTATTATTGTCTGTATTTCTTCTTACTTATGTTTTTTTTTTGGCGAAAAATTCTACTTCTTCACTTTATCCCGTTTTGTCTTTTGTCTTATTTTAAATTCATGCCTTTTTCTAGGTACTTTAAAAGAAAATTCAGAATATTTCTTTGATTTCTACAAATGAAAACTAATATTTTACAAGGGAAACAAAACGAAGTTTTGATCGCTAGAGACGATAAAAATACATGAAATAAACCTTGAGTATTCAAGTTATACTTGATTTTTATTTGTGAAGATTAAATATACGCAATTCGATTCGATCCTGGATATTATTTACCGCGTTTGGCAGAAAGATAAACTGCCGATAGTATTATTATTGTCGCTTCATTACACACTATTGATACAAGAATGAACGATTTGATCATTATAGTAGATCATCGATGCAGTATCGATGAAAGGATGAAATGAAGCTTTATTAAAAGTACTAGAGGCGGTTTTTTTTATAATTCTTACTATATTAAACTACGCCATAGGATTTAATAAATTAACATATCATTAGTATTTGGCCTATTAAAGATAGTTGCTATTTTCTGTTTGTTGTCATTCAAATTTGTAGAATAATTAGAA